GGAGCTTGATCATCACTAAACGAAGGCTAGTCATCAAATGCAAAGGAAGCTTGAGGCAACCGATAACAGCATTGTCTGTTGGAGCAATGCCAGGCTCGATTTTGGGAAGGTAAAGCTGAGCCATGTTACCAACTCAGTTGCTTTTCCGTGTGTGCCTTCAGCAGGTTCCTATGAATTTCCTGGCAGAAGCCCTTCAGGGCTGTCTTTGGAGAACAGGAGATGCTGCTGAAGAAAACTGACCCAGTAAACAGCAGGTCATAGGGTAGAAGGAAATCTTGTTGCCACTGAGAGGCAAGGCCATATATTCCCATCAGTCTTAGGTTACTTCTCCTCAGTTTTGTTTAGTCAGCTACCTTCTGCAGGGTAATAAGCCTCCACCCAGGCAGAGGATTGTCTTCTCAGTTGAGTTTGTGACCTGACTTACTTTCTTTGTTGGCTATTTGTTTGCTCCTCTTAAACGCTTTAAGAAAGAGACCACTGCAGTGCCATGCTGCCTGCAAGATGAAGAGGCATCTCTGAGAATTTCTGCAGCCTGTGTTCCTGCCCCAGCACAAAAACGTGTCATTGGAGTGGTAACAGATGGAGCAGTTGAATCAAATTCAAAGGACTATAGGGAGTACACATCACTTGATGTCCTCCCTGCTTAGGTTTTGCCTCCCTTTTCAGACTCAGAACTTGGATAAGACATCCTCTGGAATATGTTATGGCATCTGATTTTACAGGCACCATAAAGATGGCTCTACCAACGTGAATGGATAGCTTTTCCTGTCGGCAAGGGTTTAGTGCAGTGGTTAAGTTCAATTCAGTTCAGTCGTGGCATCTGGCCTCCCAAGTTTGTCGACTCAGTTTCTGAATTGACAAAGTATTGTATGGGTGAAGCCTGGGCCAGGATAGATGAACGATCCATCCACACACCAGAAACAAAATCCATATTTTCTTTCCACATATCAGAAGTGAAATACTTCAGACTTTAAAAAGCCTTTTGCAAATATATCAAAGCTGGTGTCCTCTCTGCAAGAGTTCTGTCCGCCCAGTGTGAGCTCAAGGGATGCCACCCTGGTTGGGATGGCTACACTGTGCTGTTGATTTAGAGTGTGAAGTGAAGTGTAGCAATGGGGTTCAGGGGTCTCGGACTCTGCCCACACCCAAGTTACCAACGTACTGTTTGACTGTGCACAGGTCAGTTCATTTTCTCTGTACTTCATACGTAGATATTCACATCACAAACTTTGGGGCAAGTTTTGTCATGATTCTGCAGGACCTGTCATGGTGGTGTCTCCATGATTACTGGAATACAAACAAGCAGTGAGCTTGCTCTAGTGAGCTGTCATGTGAAACCAAGCAAATGGGTTCATGTCCCAACCTCTCTTGTGCCATCGATGATGCCGGTGTACACAAAAAGCGGAACCCTGAGCTCTGGAGTTGGCTGGCAATCACAGAATAGTTTAGGGCTCTCCTCTGCTAGAGTGATCTGCAGTAGACCGAGCCTTCCTGCTTCTTCTGTGAAATGAATTGCTTAGGCCCCTGAGCATTGTAGTAATCTATAGGTCATTCTAAAATAAATTTTTAGCCTTTTTGTGCATATATTTTCTTAGAAGTTTCAGAGTCTTGAACAATTAAATAACCTAGTTAAGAGATTGTTGGCTTGCAGCTGTGGAAGGGAAGTGTGTGGCCATGACCTACAGAAACGGCATTTTCTGGTCTAATAGACTGTTCCTGGGATAAGGCTCCAGAGTGCTCGACCACGTACCTGAAACTTGAGTGCCCGCTTGTTTCTGTCTCTCTCTGACAAATTGCCTGCCTGAAAAGCAGTTCCTGGCATGGTTTAGACACTTCCTCGTAGCCAAAACTCAATGAATCATATTGAACACTTTTTGTCATCCAGCACATTTGCTTATTGAGACCCAGGGTACTCAAAGATCTTTCTGAAGCCATTGGGGAAGCCCATGTTTCAATATAACCCAGCAAAACACAGATAAATGCTTCCTGTCTTATACAAAAAAGGCTTTATGATTTGGGGAGACACTTTAAACCAGAGCTGTCTGCTAGACAAGAGCGTTCTCTCCCAGACGGAGTAAACTGTAATTTTAAATAATTCAAATTACTTCAAAGAGAAAATATTTTGGTTTTTTAAATGTGCAAGAGTCACATAGATACTATAGTGATGGGGCTTACACAGATGAAGAGTTTTGTTTCTGTTTGTACTCCTCAGTCACTGTTTGATCTGTGGCAGATCACTTCATTACGTTTGCCTCATCTTCTTACCTGTAGAAAGGAATAATAGGGGCACACTTGGCTGGTACAGGTTTGCAGAAGATGGATTGGTTTTATTTCTGTGAAGGGATTCGAGATCTTTCACAGAAAAATGCCTCTCTAGTCCTAGTTGTTACCTTTGTTTGAAACATCGCATTAAATGTTCATGTGCAGTATGTCACCAGTGGAATCCAAAGTCTTTCCTATTTATCTTTAAAGTATTGGGCATGTAGCAAGTCCAAGAGGAAATATAAAAGTGGCAGGTGTGATGGGGTTAGTAGCGTGTTAAAAACATATGAATGCTGGGATTAATAGGCAGCGATTGCTTTGAAATGTCTTCAATGCCTCCAGGCCAGCCACTTTCCTCCCTTAGTCTGAAAGCGGGAGAGATTTGCACATGTGTTGTATCCACACGAGCACAAATTAAAGGTGAGTTCTCTGCCTGCTGTTAACGTGGAGTTCCCATTCTGATGGAAGTTTGGGAAAAGAGAGAGATTTCTCCAGTCCCATTGTCATCATCAGGCCTGGCTGCCTGATTTCTAGGGTTTGTACTTTCTTTAGGACTGCGTTTTCAAGCTGGAAGTCAGAGGGCTGCTTTTAATGGAGCTAAGGGAAACGCATCGTTTGTCACTACGCTTAAAACCACTATAGAGAGAATCTGTGCTTCTTGTTGAAAATGTGTAAGGGTTCATAAATCAAGAAAGGTTGAAGACTCCATTTCTAGGAAATCGGTGCTCAGCCAACAGAGCTGAACAGCAAACGGCACGGGCTTTTCTCCAGCATGGATTTGGTTTCCTTGTTCTGTTTCTTTTCAGCTGGTGTGAAGTTCAGAGTCCTTGAGCAGCAGGATGGAAAACCTCTTCGACTCCTTATGCAGGTAAGGCACTTGTGCCCTCCGTGACATCTTCTGCTGCAGGCTTCGCCTCAGACTGACCCCAAGGTCCTTCTCTCTTCTGTAGCAGTTCTGAGACTGGTCCCACTGAAAGGCCCCACTTGAAAAATTTCAGCTGTGAAATGCTGAAACAAGGGAAATATATTTCACATTGCAATGACTGGCTGCTGCTTTCTCTTTCTTTTAATACCCTGCTTGAGTCCTCCGTTTAGAGAAAATGCAGTGTCTTGTATGGTATGAAATGAAATGTGAAAGATGGGAGAAACATGGAGCTCTGTTACTTCTGGAATTAAGGCTTCACGTCATTATCACCTCGCTTCCTGGCTCCATGCAGCTTCACCTTAATAACTGCTGAACACTGAGAGAAGCAAAAGAAGGCAGCTAAACCATCCAGAATGACAGACAGTGAAGGGCTTGTAAAAGGTCTTCCCTCCAGATGTGCTGAAAAGCCTTAGCTGCTCCATGATGCCGGCAGGATGCGTGCGTGGGTGAGACGAGAGGAAGGGCCTCCTGTTACTCCTGAGTTGCTCTGGCAAGGTGCATAGAAAAAGGTTACCTGTGCTTTTGTAACCTCGCATTTCCATGCTCTGTCGTCAGAGATACTAAAGGAATTTTTTTTTTCTGAAAAGAAATGATGTGATGGTAGCAGTGAAGTTCTCATTACGCTTTCTGGAGTGATTGTGAAATTTCCATTTCCTGACTTTGCGGGAGTACTGCCATATCACAGGGGCGCTTCTCTTGCTCTTTACATCCTAGGAGGACAGTCTGCAAGTAGGTATAACTTATAAAAGACACTATATTGGAATTTATAAAAGACACTTGGGCGCTGCAGGGGTGTGTGGGAAGAAATTAACTGCGGCTTTCCAGTTCTTTTGCTTTTTCCATCACCAGTCCGGCCCCAGCCCTGTTTCAGCAGAGATCAGACTAGCACGGAACCAGCACACCAGCTAGCAGCAATTCGAAAGGGAATCCCTTCAACAGATGTCTTCTAGGGCAAAACTAGCATTTCCTAAGCATGCTGTCTACCCAGTTCCTGTGTTTCAGTAGGGTAGTGGTGTAAGAACCAAAATCTGTCATTCTCTGTGGCCAGAACACTCCATAAAAAGGAAACCGAACACCAAAGATGAGGCACAGGAGCTGCTGAGCAGAGAATTTGGCATCAGTGTGTTTGTGAGATGAGGTGGATAGCTTCTCCAGAGGAAAAAGATCATGACTTAGAGAGCAAAGGCAGTGAGTCATATGAATATGATGAATTTTCCTTGGACCACTGCAGAAAGATCCTTCTGCTATCTAGAATATAGCATAAGTCATCATATCAAGAGGTGGAAGTGCTTTAGTGGATTCTCTCTTGGCCTTCTGTTCAAATAACAATGGGCAGAGAGTCAGTAAAGGCACTTTTTTGCTCTCTTTGTGCTGGTGGAAATGAAAAATGGGCTTGT